TTTCACTCAATGGGGGTTGGTACACTCGGATTAAAGTAGCATGTCGTGTCGCCGTATCCTCGATCCTCGCTCTAGTTTCCGACTAAGGTAAACTCGTAATAGTTCAAGCGTCTCAAATGACATGTTTAAGTGCATGTGTAACAAAAAGTTAACGCATTTAAATTATCGCATGAAACATATCTATTCAATTTAAACAAGAATTGTAGGTCAAAATATTCTGTTAAATGATAAATAATTTGGATTAAATTTGTTTGTTCACAAACTAGGAAATAATTATAGATTGGATAATTACTTTTGTGATCATATTTATAACCCGAATCGATGATGAAATGTAAATACTTACTAACTTTGTATATATGTTCTATCGATCAATAAGAAAGGAGAAATCAGAAGCCAGATGTGATTATTAGTATTGCGTTGACCTTCTGAAGTCGACCAGCGGATAAGTTACCTCAATTGGTCTCCTCTATGTGCATTTATAAATTCAGCTGCTACTGCGGAGATAGCTGTATCGGGCTCACTACCAGGCAAATTAACCAATGAATGAGTGAACATCTCCCAGCATGGTTTTCGAAGCGTCAGTCAAAAACCATTCTCAGTTCTATCTTAGCACACCTGGTTGATAGTGGTCATGTTGTAGATAAGTCTAGATCTTTTCGGGTGATCTATTGTACATCTCCATCACTTCCCAAAGGAGTTCCATTCCGTCTCATACACATAGCAGAAGCAATAGGAATTTGTACATTCAACCCCAATTAATGTGTTCAGAAGAAATTCGTGACAGCCCTATCTTTTCCGTGGCCGGATATGACTTAACCAACGTTTTTAAAAAGAATTTTTCTTGTATTTTGATCTGATTTTTACTATTATTCGCATTATTTTCACATCCTGGTATTTGTTTGTAATTTTCTACCTCTTTGCGTTTATATTCTTCTTCACTATCTCATTATGTATACACTTCTTATTACGTAATGGTTTAATGTTCTGTAATGATTATTTTAAGTCTATTTATTCACGTTTGACCTACTATTGACAAAAACGTTTGTTATTGTATTTTAATTTTCTTACTACTATCACAGTACACTTGTCTTCCTATTATTATCAACTTGTACTTTTGCCTATTATATGTATAGCTACGTAATCTATTTCATTTCATTGTGATTACTGACTCGAACTGCCTTGATTGGTTTAACATTTTCATGTGAAAATGTATTTATTTCATACATACAATTTTTCCTGATAGTTTACTGGATTTTGAAGATGAAAACATCTGAGGAGAAGTACCGGATACTGAGGACAGCTTGAATACAGAAGGAAGATCTAGACTTTGCAGATGATCTAGCCCTTCTATCTCACACACAAGAATCGTTCTCGTAAGTCTAATTCCATTGGTCAATTCCCATTGGTCAAGTCCCATTGGTTAATTCCCATTGGTCGTCCTAACTATCAATGTCAGATACTTCAAATGTTTTCTCCTATTCGACTTAACTGTATAAATGTGCATAGTCTGTAATATTTTATGATCCGGATCCTTAGATCGGGATCCTGATTCTCTTCTGAACTCGGACCTCGTACTTTCTGGGTACGTGTAGAATACACATTCTACTTCATATCAAGTCTTCTTCTTTCACTCAATGGGAGTTGGGACACTCGGATTAGAGTAGTATGTCGTGTCTTAGTTCCCAGATTATACCTAAGATCCCAATCAATCTTGATGCCAGAACTGGACAAACTATCCTTGAAAATTTTAGGAGTTAGCCTAACAGGACCCGCTGCTCTCCTTTGCCTCAGATTTCCTATCGTTTCCTCAACTTTATAAAGAGTTGGAGGACTTGTGTCGATTAACGATTCAGGTTGATCGGAGATCATCAATCAATCATTGTTTGATTGATGATTTCAAATGTGTCAAAACGCAAACCTCCAAAACTCTGCCCCAAAATATCGTAACACTGCTCACTAGTGACTAGCTTCGTGAGGAAATTCTCGGAGTTCTAGCTGAGAAGACGTGACCAATGGAGTTCAACGCTGTCGGGTGTAGGCAGTAACTACCAAAGACAAATGGATGAGGTCGCGCAAAATCCCCAGATCAACCAGAGTTAGACATTAACACAGCTGAATACCGGCCCAGTGGTCCGATGGCAAGGTTTTCGCCTACAATGCCGAGGGTCCCGGGTTCGAATTCTGCGAGGAGCAGGAGTCGTGGATGCGCGCTGATGATGAGTCCCATACCAGGACGAAACGGCCGTCCAGTGCTTCCAGGTTTCTAATGGTGGTCTAAAAACGATTGGTTGATGATTTCAAATGTGCCTAATTATATAATATAATGAATGAAAGTGTTCATATAGTAAGTTATTGAATCATTTTTGTTCAGTACAACTCAGCCTCTGATAGAGTTTCGAACTTTGAGCTGGATAGTATGGTTGTGCAGCTTTTATTGTTTACTTCCGAACATAATATCATCGGCACAAACTTCAGGTGGCGAAATGAAGTATTCGAATTTCTTCAAATATGATTCGTTACTTATTCCGTTAACTTTGATCTTAATTGATTGTCGTTGTCTGCCTCTTAATTTTGATAGTATCTTCCTTTAAAATGGTTCCTGATTCGATGTTTATCTATGATTTCTCTGATTGGTTGATAAATTGAACCGATTTTGATGTGTTTGTTGATTGCTGATTGACCGGAGTGCCAAGCTTCTAAAAGTTCTCTGGTGTTCTTTGTACTCTCTATCCAGTATATCAATATTGTTCCAATCGAATGTATGTCCGCATATGTATTCCACATATGTATTGATATAAGGAAATATATGTCATGGCCCATGACTGCTAATTGATATTCACGAATGAGAAGCTGAAGAGGATGTTCACCCTATCCGATGTAATGTTTTTCCCCAGTCTGGACAGTTTATTTTGTAAATGATGTTTGGTTTTTCTTCCCTTGTCATTCTGTCCTTTGGTCTACATAGGGTTGATTGAAATGATTCTGTTAGTTTGTGTGTCACATCTATTCCAAATGGTTTCAGTAACCTTGTTTCGATTTCCGACATGTCTTTTATGTGTAGCAGGACGATCCGTTTGTTGATTTTGTTTCTGTTGACGATTTCGGTTGATATTTTTTGATGAAGATGCGTGAATAGCCATTCTTTTGAAAGATAGTCACAAGGTGTTTTTCCTCGTTTTTTTGTACTTCAGTGTGTCTTCGCTCTCTTGAACAACGTTTGTACGCAGCTGACTTTGTGAGTTCTTGAGTTTTCGCTGCTGTAGTTGAGAATTAGGTCTGTTCAGGTTAGCTTCCGATAAACTTGAGTTTGCAGTTTTCCTGTGCAACTTCTGGTGATTAGTGATTCCAAGAATGGTAATTTATTGTCTGAATCTTTTTGCACTTTGAATTTCATGTCATCAGAGACTTTGTTGATCCGATTGTAGGTGTCCTCCAGCTTGTTCATTTTGATGACGACAAATATGTGGACTACATAGCGAACACAAATTTTTGGTTTGATTACTGGTAAAATCGAGGCTTCAAGTCTCTGAATCAATGAAGGAAAATATCTTTTGTCTATACTTCACAAGAATGACCATCCATTCAACTTCATCAAAACAAATCAACCTAACTCATCAGCTGTTACACCTGCACGTAAACACGTCATCTTGATATACTTGAAATACTACGAGTATACCTTAGTCGGAATACGAGAAAGAGGATCGAGGATCTGGTGACACGACATGCTACTCTAATCCGATTATCCCAACCCCCATATTGAGTTAAAATAAGAAGACTTGGATGTGAAATAGTACCTGTATTCTATAAGCATCCAGAAAGTACGAGGTCTGAGTCCAGAAGAGGATGAGGATCCCGGATTAAGGATCCGGGTCCGCGTCCGGTTTAAAAAATGTCACAGATAATGCTTATTTATACATTTAGGTCGAACAGGAAACAGCATTGAAGTCTGTGACATTGATAGCCAGGACAACCAATAAGAAACAACATTGGAGTAGGTGACTTTGATATCTAGGACGACCATAATATTGACCAGTACGAATTAACCAATAGGAAGTGACCAATAATTCTCTTAGGATATTGAATGAATATCCTAACATCAGCAGAAACGAAATCAAGTGTAGGAACCAACAATCGGATCATCCTATCGAAAAATGCAGCAGTCTCACTGTGACTTTTTAGAATAGATGTAGCACATAAACCAACAAAATCACTTGGTTGGTAATATTGTTTGACTGGTAATTACTGATTATATACCTACAGTTGATTAGATGCTGAGCCACTAAACTGTTCAAGGTAATATGGACACTTGAACCTAGAAAATTTGGAGTATGTTCAGTCAAGTAAACAATGATGGGTTTGTGAAATGGCCAATGGATAGGGATGGCAGATCAATAGATGAAGTAGTGAATCTCCACTAGTTGAGGTGATTGAGACATGTGCTACATATGCCCAACCACCGACTACCTCGACGATGGATGTTTTCTGATGTAGGGATAGACTGTGAGAAAACTAGGGACGCCCAAACCGAGGCATGACATAAGTCCTTGAAGTGATTGACTACTGGACGACAGAGTCATGATATCAGGTGTAGACTAACTGGTTTTGATCCGTGAAACAACATTAACCGATGGTTAGAGACTTTCAGTTACTCCACTCAAAATCGTTTTCAATGGCACATTTGCATTTATTCTTAGTCTACTCTCAAATTCTTATCTTCTGAACTCCTCATGACCTTTTTCCTCTTTTTGAATTGATTTTACTGGATTCTACTTCTTGAATAATATCCTCGAACCCTTATCTACCCCACTACCGCTAATACTTCTACTCCCTCTACACTAGTATGAGATTTGAATTAGCAATTCCAGCTCACTTTGCTTATAATGTGATGTGGTAACTTGAACTGATGTACGTACGTACGAAGTTTAACGTTGTAACTGCCTGACTGCTCAACACTACCATTGTTTCATATCATCACTAACCGAAAGAAACAACAACAATTTTTAGAAAAAAAAGAGTATATTTAATTCTAATCAATAATTTGACCATATCCAAACACTAAACAATAACCAGATGAATTGAATATTCATTCCAAATAATGATGATGATGATGGTGATATTCTATTGGATTCATTGCATAAATCCTTCTTTGTACAACAAGTAGTCATGTTGAACCATGGTGAACCGGATTTATTCTCATTCGTGCATTTATCCATTAGACAGTCTCTTTGTGTAGCATTTAAATGACCATTTTTCAATTTGACTATTTTCTATAGAAAAGCAACACAAGAAATACTAGTAATAATGATTATGGCGATGATTATGTAATCAAAACAAATAACATGATACAATGAAATCATGAATCGATCATTGATAGAACAACACTAAAAACCTGGTAGCACTGAATGATCGTTCCGTCCCAATAGAAGGACTCATCAGTGGTAGTGCTTATCCACAACCCCCGCTCTCAGGGGGTCGAACCCAGAACGTTCTATGTCTCGCGCGTGAACACTTAACGTCTAGACCACTGAGCTGACACCCAGCGGTCTTAATGTCTAACTTTGATCAATACAAGGTGTTGTGCAACCTTATGATTTCAAGGCAACTCAACAATTTCCACAACTCTTCAATGAAAACGTGTCAGTCTGCACAAGGTGAGATTGGTTATTACTCAGAAGCCTATAGCTCGTCTTCTGTGTGAGACAGATTCCATTTACTAACCGTTTTTTGTTTTATGTGATAAATATACTGTCATTATGGTCAATATTCACGTCTTCAACATGGTTGGATTTGTTCAGTTGATGATATCAATATTTATTTGGAATTAGAACTCTTCAAAAAATGTATTGTGACATATCTATCCTCTACATTAGATACTTCTATCTAATATCAAGCTAATCATTCCTGTAAACTGACAGGAATTCTGTATTAATTATTGTCAGAATATATTATTATCATTATTATTATTATTACTGTTAGTAGTAGTAGTAGTAGTAATAGTAGTAATAGTAGTGTACTGAACGAGAACACAGGTGGGGCAACCGGATTGTATTTAGCGAAAATTACAGAGTTACTCAGTAAAATTGGAAAACCATATCGTAAATCGTTCATTTGCAAAATATCAGTCCATCATATCGAACTGGACTGTTCCTGTTGCAAAACATCAATCGATTGTCACTATTCATGCGTTTCATACAAATTCCATTGTGTTCTAACTCTTCCTTTCTTGATCTTCCCCCATCTTCTGCTGCCAGACATTACGTTGACACTCACGTCATATACTACTTATAAGTAGCTCGCACCACAGTAGTAGTACAGTGAGTAGTAGAATTTTAATCGCTTTAGACTTCTGTTATACTACGTAACATCAGCTGTGATTCTTCCTACCACCTAAAACTGTTAAAGCCAAAAAAAGTTTTTTTATTGAGAAAAATATTGTTTGTTAAACTTTACCTGACAATATTTACAACCACTGCGTATTGTGAATTGAGATTTAATAGTGAGATTTGTACAATTTTGACAAACTAAACACTTCAACGCTTCTGATTTTTCTAAAATTGGAAATTTTTTTACAAGAAAAACGAAATTGTTATTTCAATATTCACAGTGTTAATATTCAGTAGGGTAAAAAGATAATTCTTAATTTATCACATCGCAGACTGCTGACCTTAGATGATCATTGGAAATTAGGCAGAACTCAGTTCAGAGCTTTTTCAGCTCAGTGTACGATCTCTCACCCCTCCTCAACAATGTGCATCCATGAACCCAGCAAAAAGGATTAAAATCGAAATATTTAGTTTTCGTGACGAACACTTAAACTTGAGACCATTAGAGAGGCATCCGATTGAACATATGCCTAACTCCGATTATGGCTTAACTCTTATTATCACAGCTTCTCATCAGAACTGGGACAGTTACCTCTCATAAATTAGTCACCAGTAAACACATGATAGGTAGTTTGTGAAGATTGTTAAAATTAACATATCTAAAATATTAGACCACCATTAGAAACCTGAAAGGCCGTTTCGTTGTGCTATAGGACTCATCAGAAGTGTGCATCGATGACTCCCACTACTCGCAGGAATGAAATCCAGGAACTTCGGTCTCACTCGCAAACGTTTAAACTCTAGACCATTGGATCGGAAACCAACGGTGTTAATGCCTAACTCTGATGAATCTAAGAGTTTTCCGCAACCTCATTGATTTGTCTTCGGTAGTGACTGCCTACACTAGATAGGTTTGAACTCCATTGGTCACGTCTTCTCACTAGGATTCAGAGAAATATGAATCCCATACCTGGACGAAACAACTATCTAGTGCATTCAGGTTCAAATCGGTAGTCTAACATTGATCGACTGATGATTTCATAAGCGACTCAGTCATCGCCAAAACCAAATCATAAAAAATATTCAAAACATCTCTAAAAAAGCGCTAGAAACAGCTATTCTTTCAATCCTACTGTTATGCTCTTTCATTGTCAAAACTACTTCTAACTCAATTTCCTCTTCAGATACCAGTTGTAAGCAACTGGAAGATGATAACCAATCCACGCACGACTATTTCATTGATTATCATACTGAATCTTTATTGCCTCATAGTTATCTATTAAGTTCAATAATAAAAATAGAATATTTGATTATATTGTAATATGTACTATTGTGACGAATCAGCACAACTTTTCCCAGCCTTTCATTGAATTAATTAACCTGTTTTATTTTTCTTGACTGATTATCATTCACACGTCTTTTGACCTTGTCATTTATTCGCTTATAACCTCAATTGTTGTTATTGCTTAAGTGAGTAGGTGCGCATGGCTTATTTCGCTTGCCACATGTTTGGCCTATTTGTTGTCTGGCCAAAAGTACTTAGGTGATGCCTGAGTTAGGTCACTCGCCTTCATGTTGGACAGTTTATCATCCAGGACTAAGCTTATATTACAGTTCAATTATCAATAAGCATTATTCACATTCATACTTGATCCTAACAGTTGTTGCTGTCTAAGAGATAGAAATATGTTTCATTTGATATTTGATCCTAGTCAATATCATTACGCTTTATAGAACTACACAACTGACTGATTATTCAACAGAGATCAGTGTAAGATCCATTTTTGAAGGCTTTGTTTGTGAAAATCCCTCCTGTGTATACACTTGTAATTTGTTCTTATTGACTCCTTCAGCTCTACATTTGGTTAGTCTGTTCCATTCCATTTCAGATGGATGATAATATTTGTATTTTATTATAGTTTCTATTTCTTCTGCCCTCACTGAGTTTCTATGTTTCTTTCTGAACTCCATTATGTTGTTTAAGCTGATACTTATTAGTCATGACGACAACCATATTGATTTGTTCCTCTTTTCATTGTGTCGCTTGCATTGACTGGAATTGTGCATTTTGATTGTGAATTGAAGCACTCATCCAGAATAAGAAACAGTCTGTGTTATAAAGCTACCAAATATTATCTATCGAACGAATCTGATCTATCCAGGAGAGATAGAATATCATTTATTTGTTGCTGTTGATTTGAATAATTGAACAATTGTTGGTGGAATAACTGAGTGGTAATATTTGTTTAGGTAATGATGTACATTTATATTTATGATGAATATTAGAACCGTCATTTACCTAAATAACTTGTTTTGATTTCAACAGGGCAGTAGCGCGTATCTAAACTACCTAAACAGTTATTCCTCAATCCAAACCTCAGTTTCGATCCTACAATCAGTGCCATGCTTTTTCATCGAATCTGATCACTAACTTAAGTGACTCGGTATCGATTATATTATATCGAAGAACGGACAAGAATACTCAGTCCTACAGAAGATTAATTGTAGTGTTTGGATAGGACGGTAGTAGTAACGTTTCAGACTAGGAAGAGGAGTCACATGGATTCTTGTCAAACAGAAAGTATCAATATTCTTCAAGATTACATCTAAAAAACTTTTCTAACAAGTGTAAGATTCAACTTTTCCTGCTGACTACTACAAAACACCTAACACTGTACCGACTAAGCATAAACGGATGTAAACCCCCATTTCAGTATACAATCCTTGGTTCATCTTTGAACATTTTGAAGAAATCAATAAATTCTAAGATGTAATCATTAAGTTTCTATCGAACTTCAAGATTATGTATACGATTATATAATGAACAATTTGAAACATTATTATTATTATTACAAACGAACTTACAATAAAAACATTAGAATAACATTTGAAATATACTTACCTATATAGATTGAACTTAACAATATAACGGTAAACATTAGAATTATACTTATACATCTTTGTTTATTCAACATGTTCCTTTTGATGCGAAATTAATTTTCCAATGATGATAACTGTAAAAATAAACTTTGAACAAAATAAAACAACAAATTCAAACAAGCAAACGAATAGGCAACTCATTTTAATTCAATGAACGAATATTTATTTACATGTAATCTGAATTTTGATTGGTCATTTGAAATTATCCAATCACGATAGAGTATCATCATCTCCACATTTGTGTTAAAAAAAAGTACAAGGACAATTGTCTGTGTTATCAATATGTACAAGTGTTTGTTTTTGTTGTTTTAATTTCTAATTTTAGTGATGTGATCGTAAATTAATTGTTTTTTTTTTCAGCCAGTCAGTCCGAAATAGTTGGTGTTTGAAAAAGGTAACAAGCACACAGCAAGTTTATTCATGTTACGGTTTTTTTTAAAAATATATAATCGAGGCTGTGATATTTTTGAAGTCAATAAACATACTCTACCTAGCATTTGTTGGATCATCTGAACTAGTTTAACTGCGCTACAATAGATTATCTATGTTCATCATGATCGATAGTTACAGATATGCACATATATTTCGAATTTGAAATAGAATTCTTTGAAAACAATGTTCTATTTTTTTATAGCATTGTGTTTTTAGTTGATTTAAACAATAGGAATTTCTAATATTTTGATAGTGTTAGGTTCGTCTCTAGGTATGCTTTGAAACTATTACAGGTTCACCTCAGTCGATAAACGAGAACGAGACAATGAACCAGCATCCAGGTAGGCTACTCTGATCCGTTGACCAAAAAGAACTAACGAAAAGTCTTGATATAGCATAGAAAGTATATTCTACAAACACCCAGCAAGCACAATGTAATCAAGGACACAAATCTCATTTATTTATCCACTAAAGAAACGTCCTTTGGAGAGTCACAAAAATAGCTCACTAAAATGCACAGCAACTAACCACAGCCATAGATTTTTATGGTGGGAAATGAAGTCTCAAGGTCAACTGATCAGCCCATGCTGGCAAACGGGAAATCCAAAATAAGGCATTTATCAAGCGAGTTCTGGGGATCTAACGTCCACAACATATTCAACTCAAGTAAATATTCCAATGTGTCTTTTTATAATAAAAGTTTAATTCTTTCTTTTCTGTCCAAGAAGTGTATAATTTGCTCATATGTATACAATGTGCGCATAGTTTTAGTAAGATTCAGGAGGAAGAACAAGAATCAGCAGACTGGAGAATAGGACAGCTCATCAAGATACCAAAGAAACAAGATTTCAACAAGTCTCAGGACTACAGAAGTATCACCTTTGTCTCAATAGTAGGAAAATTCCTCAACAGATTGTTGCTAAACCGAATAAAGGATTCAGTAGACGCTTAAACTTGAGATCCATAGGCTGAATTCCGTCATTTACCGACCAAATCGCAACACTACGGATCATTGTGGAACAGTCAGTTCAATAGAACTCAACACTATACATCAACTTCTTTTACTATGAGTAAACATTTGATAGATTGAACAGGATGACATTATGGAAGCTTCTTCGACAGTACGGAGTGCGCGAGAAGATAATCAAGATCGTATGTAATTCGTTCAAAGAATTAAACCTCAAGATTGTTCACGGAGGACAGCTTACAGACTCGTTCTAATTAAAGATCGGTGTTGAACATGGTTGCTCATTCTCATCCTTTCTGTTTCTCCTAGTGGTAGATTGAATCATGAAGAAATCAATATCTTGTGGGAAGCACCGGACACAATTTTAGTGGTGACCGAGTCGAGATTGACTATGATCACCACTAAATATTCATTACTATCCCGTCACAAATTATAGAAATAAATCCAGGTTTCAATATTTATTTGAAGGAGAAAGTAGGCATTACATAGAGCAGCAAGTTATGAAAAATGGCAGCAACGCGTAAAAGAACGTTGTGCGCAAGTAAGTGTTTTTGGTACAGTTAAACAAAACGAGTTCAATAATAAATGTTTATTTTTCACCAATCGCGTTTTCTTCTTAGAAGTGTTCCACTACACACACTAAACAGTTCAGATACAGCTGAACGATCTGGAATTCGCATATGATCTAGCTCTTCTATCCTACACGCAACTACAATTAGAGGAGAAGTAGATCAGTGTGACACCAGCCTCCACAGAAGCAGGTTTCAACATAAACAAGGGAAAAAGCAAAATCATTCGATGCAACACAACATGCACCAACCAAATAACTCCTGATGGAGAAGCTTTGGGAGATGTAGTAACCTTTACATACTTTAGCGGCAACATTGATAAACAAAGCAAGTCTGATACAGATGTAAAGACACCGATAAGTAAAACAAGGGTGGCATATCTACAACTAGAGAACATTTGAAAATCAAAACAGCTATCGACAAACGCCATAGTCACAGTCTTCAATACCATCGTCAAGACAGTTCTATTATAAAAAGTGAAAACTTGGAGAACTACAAGATACAGGTGTTTATGAACAGTTGTCTAGGTAAAGTATTCGTGAATCGTTGGTCAGAGACTATGAGCAACAAGATACTTTAGGAGAGGACGAAACAGCTCCCAGTTGAGAAAAAACTACTAAAAATCTCTGGAAGTGGATTGAACACACATTGAGGAAATCGCCAAACTGCAACGGGAGGCAAGCCCCAATTCGGAATACTCAATACCGAAAAACACATTGAGCTGATAACTTGAGACAGATATAAAATAAGCAACTAGCGATTGGATAGAACTGGAAAGGAAATTTCAGGACAGAACAAGGGCTGGAGAATACTTGTTAGAGATATATGGTTTATTATCGATGACAGGTATAAGTAAGTAAGTAATTAAAACTGGTAGAAAAATGCGACTTTATCAAGCTTTCAAAATACATTTATTACTTAACAGTTTTATACAAATTCATTTGTATTAGCTGTGTTGAATTTTCCCCGTTTGACAGTTAGGACTTCCTTCAATGGATCAGTCCCATTAAGCATATGTACATCCTCTACGGACTGCCTCAATATTCTACCTTTAGGTCAAAAGCATTATAAACAGAACTGATGAATAGTGGCTAACAGTGAAATCCAGGAGGTGTGTTTTGTCCTACTTAGGACTCGTCAGCACTGTAGGATCCAAACTGAGGTTTGAACTGAGAAATAACTGTCTATGTAGTTTAGATACGCGCTACTGCCCTGTTGAAATCAAAACAAGTTATTGGGTAAATGATGGTTCTAATATTCATCATAAATATAAATGTACAGCATCACCTAAACAAATATTACCACTCAGTTATTCCACCAACAATTGTTCAATTATTCAAATCAACAGCAACAAATAAATGATATTCTATCTCTCCTGGATAGATCAGATTCTTTCAAAAGATAATATTTGGTAGCTTTATAACACAGACTGTTTCTTATTCTGGATGAGTGCTTCAATTCACAATCAAAATGCACAATTCCAGTCCGTAAAAGCAATCCAATCAAAGGAGGGAAAAATCAATATGGCTGTCGCCATGATTAAGTATCAGCTTAAACAACATAAATGGAGTTCAGAAAGAAACATAGAAACTCAGTGAGGGCAGAAGAAATAGAAACTACAGTAAAATACAAATATTATCATCCATCTCAAATGGAATGGAACAGACTAACCAAATGTAGAGCTGAAGGAGTCAATAAGAACAAATTACAACTGTATACACAGGAGGGATTTTCCACAAACCAAACCTTCAAAAATGTATCTTACAAGCAGGATATACCTGGATGTCAGAGTGGCCATTAACACTAGGACTTAGGACACTCTCTGAATGCCCCTGTTAGCGACGATCCATCTCCGCTCACAATTTTATAAACACAGTTGTTAATTAATTAATTAACTGAAAATCATATACATATTGGAAATAACATAAGAATATTAAAACAATAATAACAATTGTTTTAACAAAGTTCATATGAAATTAGGACGCATAATATTCATATTGAATCAATGTTACATTCAAATGAAATCAATGTAACATTGAACAAATTATTACCACATATTGTAAATTTAAATTTAAATATCATGAATATTTTTTTCCTCTCGAATGAATTAACGATTGAAAACTACAAAAAGAAAACGAACATTGAACATTTGTTACGTTCGAATGTGATGAATTCATCTGTTCTTAATAAATATGCTCATAAAAGGTGGATAGTTTGCAGTGGAACGACTCACTTTAGGAAGGAGTTAAGACACACTTGATGGAGATTATTTAGAGGACGTTGATACCTTTACATATCTGGGCAGCCTCATCGACAACCAAGATGGATCTGATGTGAGGGCGCGGATTGGCAAAGCAAGGTCTGCATTTCTACAATTGAAAAATATCTGGAACTCCAAACAAATATCAATCCACTCCAAAATCAGGATTTTCAATACAAATGTGGAAGTGGATAAGACACACTACGAAAAGCACCTGACTGCTTCACAAGACAAGCCCTCACATGGAACCCTCAGGGCAAAAGGAAAAGAGGAAGGCCAAGAAACACATCACGCCGAGAAATAGAGAAAGATATGAGAGGAATGAACAAAAACTTGAAAGTACTAGAAAGGGAAGTCCAGGACAGAGTTGGTTGGAGAAATCTGGTCGGCGGCCGATGCTCCATTGGGGTCAACAGGCGTAAGTAAAGTAAGTAAGTAAGGCAGACAGACTAGAGGAGAAGGAGTAGTTCTAATTGGTTGATATAACGTAGCTGCTTCAACATATTAAAGATTAACTATAACCGCGATAGCTCAATTAAACTATAGTGACTAGAGTATTTGTCCTGTTTGAGTCTTTTCATGGTCACTATAACCTACGTATAATTCAAAAGTTACTCTTAATATTGTATGTATCCTACTCTCAATGATCACATTCATTTCTTATTTAATTATCTTGTTTCTTCTATTGCTACAATTCACCAGGTGGTGACAGCATTTTTGTCAACGTCGGGGCTGGAAGAAAGCTATGAGCGGCCAAACGATAACACAAAACAAATCCATGAAGTCACTGACAGTTGGAGTGATCTATGTCGGTAGGTGTAGACTACGTGGTTGGGGTCCGTGAGACAACTACTACTTCTACTAATGTGGGATTTTAATTTGATTATTGCATCTCTTTGTG